TCAGCGAAGGAGGAAGGGCCCTGGTCCCTGGCATAAAGTGGGGCTACCCTAGCAAGAAGGAACCTTCCTTCGATAAACTTTGATGAGGTTCGCTCTTTCCTTCTTTTCCCCTTGTGACGATACGATACATAAATTACGACAGTAAATTACACAGTAGAAGATGATAAGAAGGATATAATTATGAGAGGAGGAGAGACAATAGAATAGGAGAAGATGATAGTAGGAGAAGGATAGTAGAAGTACAGATGAAGAGAGAGTGAGAGAAAGCGCTTGGTCGGTGGTCCGATTGGACTGGGGGCTTCCTTCGCGCCCAGCAGCCGGTTGGTTCCCCGGCCTTGTCCCAGCTGGAGACGCTAAGATGGGCAGCAGCAGCAGACCAGGCCTGGATGGATAATAATAGAGAAACAAGACGAGGAGGGGAGGATGCGACTCCATCGTCGCATGGAAGGGTCGTATCATGGGATTCTCGCCTGGGATCCTTGGAGGATGCACTGACCGGAGGCGACGAGACGGAGGGTTTGGCCATCTCGATCAGCCTCAAGAAGCATGTCTCACCAGAGGATGCGATGAGATACGAGAGCGAGATGCATCTCCTTACTTTACTCTCACTCTCCGGAGTACCTGACTCTCTCATCGAATTTCCATCTGCAGTGATATAGCGATGAACGGGCAGGGATGAGGGCGCCAAACGGTGAGCCAGGCAAGCTCCGATGCACGAAAGGGTTACATGGCAGCTTGGGCTCGCACGATGGAAGGTCATGCGAACACTTCTTGTTAATATTATTACTATTACTACTGCTGGCTGACTGGATGCAAAGCTAACCGCCGGCTTGGGGTTGGTTGGAGCTGTTAGGGGGTTCTGCGGGTTCTGCGGGTTCTGCTTTCAGGGGGTGATATCTCTGCCTCTTGCTTACTCCGTTCTTCGTCTCTCAGGTCACCAAGACTCCTTCGATGAGGCTTTAATCTTATCCTGTCCAGTCGAACAGCCAGCCCGGCCAGGGACAGGCACGTTTTGCTTCTTTTCTTTTTCTTCTGCTTCTTCTCTTTTTTCACTGTGCCGCTTTTTGCTTTTCTTTCATGCTGTTGGCCATGTCTATATGTGTGCGTCCGTATACCTCCAGACGTAAGTAAGTATACCTCCAGACAGGACGGGACATCTCCAGGATTCCGACTCCAGGGATCTTCCCCCCATGGCTCTATAGCTCCATGGCTCATGGTTCAATGCCCATGATGTGCCCGCCGCCCTCCGAGCGACAAGCTTGACCTGATCAGGCAGGCCGAGCGGAAGATGTGGGAAGCATATATACTTATATACATCACTCTATACTTGGGAAGAAGAAGGAAAAAAGAAAGAAAAGCGAGTCCCATCCTTCTGAGGCTCTTTCGAGATGCCGATATCTCGTCGATATGATGATGTCTTGGTTGTCGGCGTCGGTGCTTGGGGTAAAAGGGGGCCTCCTGGGCAGGGGAGAAGATGCTTCGCCCCAATCAGACGCCAACAGGACATCGCATCGGCCATGTGCATTGATGATGATGATGATGATGAGTGGACTTCCTGTACGCTGGGTCGGCGTTATTATCTCTTATTGTTTTCATTCGCTTGCTCCGGCCATAGAAGACGCTGCTATTACTGCTGGAGACAGACGGAGGAAGAGAAGGAAGAGAACGAGGAGGAGAAGGACGGATGCGACGGCAGGCAAAGGGAGGCTGCAAAGATGCCTTGCATGCAGGCCGTTGCTCTCTTGCTCTTCCTTTGCTTCTTTTTCTCGTCTGTTGCTGTCTCTGTGTGCCTCTTATTTTTTTTCTCCGAAGTTCCCACTTGGGCTGGTTTAGTTATTTTTGGACACGAGCGGATAACTGTTGGATAACTCAATGGATGTCACTAACAGGTTAGTTAGTTGGCCAGGCAGACGGCGGTGACGACGGCGAACGAACGGCGCATGGCCATGCTTCGGCCAACTAGCGAGTCCAAAGATCGATTATATGGCCTGCGTTCGTCGAGTGCCAGAGTGGCTGATACATTGTCGACAGCTGAAACGCATGGCTTCAACAGTAGTTCACCTCTGTTGCCGTGTCATATTATTTATGATTGTTCATTTTTTATTATCAGTATCAGTTGTGAGCGAGCAGGCCGTCGAAAGGGGGGCAGCGACATCCCCAGGCGACTTGACCTGCCGTATTTATATTCTGCCCTCTCTGCTCGTATCTCTGACTGCAAACGCTGCTAGTAACTAACTTAACCGGCCAGTAAGTGAGCTCTACTGGCGACGTTTCAGAAGGGCGTTTCTCGACTTGGTTCGACTTAGGGTTGCGAGACGAAGCCACAACACGAGCAGCTCAGGGGGTGACCAGACAGACAGACAGACAAGCAGATGGATACCCCAGGATGGCCCTCGTCTGTCTAAGGACACTTATATCTCGAGTCACCGTCGTTTGATCTGGCCAGTCGAACCAAGAACACACGACAAGATGAAGCTGCTCTACCAGACTCACTCGCCCTACGCCCGCAAAGTGCTGGTCTTCGCCCATGAAGCCGGCCTCGCAGCAGACATCCAGGTGGTCCATCAGGAAACCAGCCCCATACGGGCCAACGCTGAAGTCTACGCCCAGAATCCCCTTGGAAAAGTGCCAGTTCTACTTCGTGGAGACGCAGACCAAGCAGACCAAGCAGATCCAAGCCCAGAGGCAACTTCTGCCCTGTTCGACTCCAATGTCATCTGCGAGTACCTTGATACCCGCCACCAGGGACGTCCTCTAATCCCCCGCGAGGGCGAAGCCAGGTGGCAGGCCCTGCGCATCCAGGCCGTGGCCAGCGGTCTAGCGGATGTCGGGATTGCCGTTCGCTGGGAGACGACCAGACGGCCCGAGACGCTGCGGTACCCAGAGCTGAGCGCCAACCTGTCCCGGAAGCTGGTCGAGAGCTTCGACTGGCTTGAGCGGGAGTTGGACGACAACAACGACAATAACAATAATGGCGGCGGCGGCGACGACAGTGCAGTACATGTTGGCCACATTGCTCTGGCGACGACCCTGAGCTGGCTGCTGTTTCGCGGCGTCGGGGAGGACTTTCGACAGGGCAGGCCTCGCCTGGCTGCCTGGTTCGAGCGGTTTGAGAGCAGGCCGTCGATGAAGGCGACGCCGTTGTCCGGTGAGACGCACGACTGACCCGGCTCCTTGCAGGGTACTGTACCTGCTGTGCCTGTTGTGCCTGTTGTGCCTGTTGTGCCTGTTGTGCCTGTTGTGCCTGTTGTACCTGTATTCTGTATATCCTCCTCTGCTAGCAACTGGGAAGAGGCACCCGGTTTGAAATACTGGTATCCCGTAGTCAACTGCCCTGCATGTACAGCCATCTCCCGCAAGTCGAGTTCGAAATAACAGCCAGTTCGCCATTATTTTGATATGTGTAACTCGCAGTGAATAATGCAAGTGAACAACAGACGATATATCCACACTCCGTGCTAGTCATGATGCTCTGTAGAGACGGACGGCTGCCTGCAGGTGTGAGACCCAGAGCCTAGCATCGCTTAGTCGCTTAGCAGCATCAGGCCACATCGCGCCTTTGACGCCGTAGCATGAAGATATCTGGCCGTCGTCTGATGGGCTTTTAACATTGATGAAGACATCAAGCTCAACAGCAGAAGACTCGGCCTGCTTGAAAATTCTTCTCTGAAAGCACGAAGAGAATGCGCTTCGTATATAGCCCAGGGATCCCTCAATCCCCACCAAGCGCTGCGCAATGAAAAGAGCACAGGAGGATCTCGAGCCTCTGCAGGAGAAAAATCTTCTTTCCGAGACCAAAAACCTTCATCTCGCAATCCGCCAGGCTATTCCTTGATTTTTGTCATTTCTTTTACCATCTCCTTGTGCCTTGTTGCGCCTTGCACTCTGCGCTGCTACGCCCTGAAACATCCAACCGCAAGGACGAGGAGCAACAAAGCAACGACTCCGGCTTGTCACGAAGGTCGCCACCGTCATCCCGCAACCGCCTGTCTTGTCTGTCCGTCCGTCTGGTCGCCTGATCAGCCCGTTGTGGCTGCCGTTGCTGCTGTTGGGCCGACGTTAACGATGGCTATCCAAATCGCTGCCTTTGACGACTAACTATTGGCGTCGACGCTCTTTCACCGCATGGCCGCCGGTCTACTCTGGGTTACATACATCCGCACACTCGACATGCATCAGTCACATCGACCTCAGTTTAAGCATATAACACATGATGCCTGCGCCGACGGTGACGGCGACGTGGATCCAACGGGGGTCGCCTGCGATGCACGTTAAGCCGCCATCCCGTCGACGATCATGGCTGTTCTGACCTCAACAACAACGACAACAACAGCAGCAATAGTCTATCGCGGGGAGGGGAGAGGGGGGGGGGCTACCTGAACAACTACCAAAGGACGGGACATATATCCATTCTTTCTTAATGGCCCACCGCAACTGGAGAAAGGCCGAAGACGGGAGTTTTAAGACGAAGGACCCAGCAATAGGACGGTACAGCTGGAGGGCGCGTGACGCCCTGCAGACTCCAGAGGTCAAAGACGAGGACATCAGGAGGGGAGGGCGACGACGGTTGTCTTCACCGCATACGGAGAAGACCAAGAGGCATGCGAGATGATTGAAGTGACAAGGAAAAGAAAGGGAGCAAAGGAAAAAAGAAAGACAAGGATTAGAGATGATGATGATGATGATGCTTGGAGCTGGGCCTCGTAGCCATGGCGACCCCCGTTTCCATCAGCCCCTGAACATGATACAAGTTTGGGGCGGTTCAACAAACATTCTCGTTTCGACAGTGAGCTGGATGGCTACCACCCACGGATGAGGTGTCTGTGATGCCCGAGGCGCCGCTGTGATGGCTGCCATGCCATCTCCAAGGCTTGGTTCCAGCACTGTGAGGTCCCTCCTGCCAGGCTTACACCCCCCGGGTTATGGTGTATGTACTTCTGTCCAAAATCCGGGGAAACCCCCTGGAAGAACCACCCACTAAACTATCACCCAATCCGAACGACTCCATGGAACAAAATGGCCTCGTGCCACCCTCGGCTGTCCGATACAATGGGCACAAAAGGTTGACGACCCGGTTTTTATCAGCGCCAGAACCAATAAGGCGGCCCATATGCACGATGATCTGCAGCCTCAGCAATGTGATATCCATCGAGAGTGATGATACCCAGACTGGCCCCCGGCCCACGCTGGATCTGACATCGCACACACGACTGGCTAGCAATCTTCACTTCGATGGAGATGGATTCTGTTTTGCCTTCTTTTGGTCATTGCCGATCGTTCTTGCTTGTGAAACGTGGGTCATGGATGAGGAACTCGGGCCTGGTGCGGGAAGGGCATAAGAAGGGCTGCGTCTCCTGTCGATGAACTTGATACTTTTCCAGCATCCTCAGAGAAACCCGGGAACCTTCACCTTAATTGATTATATATATACACATAACATAACTTATTCAATACCTTGTTGTTGTGTGTGTGTATATATATACCGGCTAGTATGAAGTTTGGCTCTCTCCTCGGGCTGTCACTGGTTGGTCTCAGTGTTGCCTCCCCCGTTACCAACGTTTGGTGAGAGCTCTCTTCTCTTTTTTTTTTTTTTTTTGCCGCCTCCCGCTGAATCTTGAATCTTGTTTTTTCATCTCATCTCTCTTTTTTACCTATGGCTTCTGTTTCGACTTATGCTGACGTTGAATAGGAAATCACCGAGAGCTGCTGACGATTTCATCCGCGGTGTTAACCTGGGAGGATGGCTGGTGTTGGAACCATGGATCACACCCGGTATCTTTGAAGAAGGAGGCGACAGCGCAGTGGATGAATGGACACTCAGCGCGGCTCTCGGTCAGCGTGCCCATGAGCGCCTCAAGCTGCATTGGAACACCTACGTCGACCAGAAGGACTTTGATCGCATTAAAGCTGCCGGACTCACCCATGTCCGCATTCCAATCGGATATTGGGCCGTCGCTCCCATCCAGGGAGAGCCCTTCGTTCAGGGCCAGATAGACATGTTGGATGCTGCCATCGACTGGGCTAGACACTCTGGTCTCAAGGTCAACGTTGATCTCCACGGTGGTACGTTCACGCTTACAGCTTACATAGTATCTCATTTCTTTATATCACCTACATTTTTCTTAATGTGCTGACTTTCTTAGCCCCTGGATCTCAAAACGGCTTCGATAACAGCGGCAGACTGGGCCCGGCCAACTGGCAAAAGGGCGACACTGTCGCACAAACCTACAAAGCCCTCGACGCTCTCATCCAACGATACGCCAGGCAAGAAGGTGTTGTCGACGAAATCAACCTCATCAACGAGCCTTTCCCCCAGGCTGGCATTCAAGTCGAACCTCTCAAGGACTTCTACCGCCAGGGTGCCGCCAAGGTCAAGAGCGCCAACCCCAACGTCGCTGTTGTCATTTCCGATGCCTTCATGGGCCCATCCAAGTGGAACGGCTTCGACCTCGGGGCCAAGACCATCATCGACACCCACCACTACCAAGTCTTCTCTCCTCAGCTCGTCGCCTTGGACATCAACCAGCACGTCAAGACTGCATGCGAATTCGGCAAGAACGAACTCGCCAAATCCTCCATCCCTGCTATTGTTGGTGAATGGTGCGGTGCCCTGACCGACTGCACCCAGTACCTCAACGGCCGCCATGAGGGAGCTCGATACGACGGCACCCACAAAGACTCGGACCCCAAGACTGCCGTCCCCAACGGCTGTGTCCGCAAGACCGGAGGTTCTGTTTCGCAGCTCACTGACGAAGAGAAGACTAATACCCGCCGCTACATTGAGGCTCAGCTTGACTCCTTCTCCACGGGCCACGGATGGTACTGGTGGACATGGAAGACCGAGCGCGGTTCTCCTGGCTGGGATCTTAATGACTTGCTTTCGAACGGCCTTTTCCCGCAACCTCTTGATGCCAGGATGTTCCCTGGCCAGTGCCACTAGATGGATAGGATAATGGCTGGCGCAGGATGGACGTCTCTTTTCTTCCCTTCTTTTTACACTTTATTAATTCATCATTAGTTATAGGTATAGTTTAGCATTGGATACTGGGATAATGTTTATATCCACCATCCCTTTTCTGTGTACAGTCATTAAACTAATTAGTACAAGCAGATAGACAGACAAGACAATTATATTGAACGATCAGTCAGTCAAACCAAGCGCAAGATGCCGATTCTGCTTAATAGGTTCAAATGATATGCTACGGTTCAAGACTACCACGTATAACCAAGCAACGTAAGCAGTGTTCTTCCCTCTAGCTAATCGACGTTTATTCATTCTTTCTTTATCTGGGTATTCGTAAGCCGTAACTATAAAATCGATAGCAAAAACGGGTGAGAAAAGAAGAAGAAGAAGAAAAGAAAAGAAACAAGGCAGGTCAAGTTGTTGGAAGATATTGGGTGGCGGTGGATACAATTGCCTGTTTTTTTCAACTCCAGCTCCAACCCCATCTACATGATCCCCAACTGCCCAAAACCATTAACAACCTCCCTATCAACATTAACTAACCACTCATCTCTGAACCGATCAGCTCCTCCGCAAACTTGCACCAAAGCCTGGAGATGCTGCCCCACATATTGCCTCAGGTTGATCTTGTGAATTGCGTCCGAGGCGCTCCATGTACGTCGACGCGTAGTCTCAGGGGTCTCAGATTCATGGTATTTCTCTCCCTGGGCCTCACTGGGGTCGAAAACAAGATAATCACCGTGTCGGGCGTCGGTGGGGTTTACTTCGGGCCCTTCAGATAGATCGGTGATCAAGTCTGTCCAGATTGTTAGGTAGGATTGTAAATTGTTCAATAGGTATGTTGGCGCCGGAGATGAAGGCCCGTTGACAGTTAGTAAATGCGTAAGAGCCATGGTATGCAGTTTCTTCTTGTTGACATCTCCAATATTGTCAAAGTGAGCGAACCATTCGCTTAGTATCCAGGTGAATGTCTGTTCTTCGGAGGAGTTGCTAGTTGCCGATGTTACTGCTGATATACAGTTGCGTGGGGAAGCGAGGGCAAGCCGTGCGATGACTGAGAGGTGGTCAGTTTCAGCCACGCCGTAGATGGTGGCTTGCTTCCTGTTAGGCCCCGTTGTCTGGCGGGACTGGTATGCGCCATATAAGGCGGAGAGAAGCGTTTCCATGAAGCCAGTGCTTAGCATGGACTTAGCGATGGCGCCGTACACATTCTCACTGTTCTCTTCGGAGGCAGATTCGCCTGTCCGTATGAGCAGTTCCGCAAGATGAGGGACTAGGCCGATTCGGGGAGTGACATCTGGATTGAGGAGAGTATTGAAGATATCAAACAATCGAAAACGGACATTTTCATCGAGGAACTCTCGGGGTGCGAGGAGGATGTATGATTCAGTGACTTCAAGAGCTTGTCGTACAACATCGCTCCCAATTTCAAATATGGGAAATATAGATGGGAATAAGGCTAGAATTTCACGAGACGGCGGATTTGGAGTTTCAGATAGCACAGCAGACCATAGATCTAGAGACTCCTCGAGGAGGTACACGAGAGATTCCTAAATTCCAGTATTAGTGTTATCGTGATGCCCAGGGAAATAGGGGGGTTTGGAGACTTACTGAGCCAGGTTCAACCGACTTTTGGATAAGGGGTAGTATCATGGAGTGATATCTAGTGGAGCTCTCTCTCATAGAGTGTATTAGGGATGACAGGAGTGTTAATATTGCCTGCTTCATCAAGTGTTCGTCACCAGATTGCTCCCAAAGCCCTGGTAGAAGGGATACAATCTGATCCGCAAAAGGGGTTATCTAGAATGAAACCTGGTAAGTATAATATCTACTATCAAAATATGGGATTCCTGGACTTACGTGGCTTTCCATTTTTACCACTGCAACCCTTACAGTCTCAAGTAGTGCCATTTTTGTTTCACTAAGAGAGACCTCTTGAATAAGCTGTATTAGGTTTTGTAGGATAGACGTTGAGAACGGTTTGAATACTTCGGCAGAGAATTCGAATGGGTCCAGAACCTGTCGAAGCTTCCGACCAGCCGTTACACGAACGACTTGATCATTCATGGGGTCACTCTTATCCAGGAGGTGTTGGAAGATACCGTATACGGATGCTTTGTCAATATCACTTGGTTTCACTGGAACCCATTGTCCGAGTATGACAGAAATTCTTCGGCGGAGGATATTATAGCCTGGACCCTGGATTTGAATTTCTGGTACGAGTGTGGACACCAAGAAAGTGTTGAAGTCTAAGTGGTTCTCCAGACATGCAGCTGCAAGGCCAACAGCGGAATAAAGAGAGTCTTTTAATAAGATGTCTTTGTTCTGAGGGTCTAGTGCAGCGTCAGTTAGTTCAGACTTATAGTATACTATACCGTTGTTCGACTTACTAGCATAGGTATAGAACACATTGAGCAGCTTTGGTATGAGCAGTTCTTTGTAATTGATAACCAGATCAAGGAATAGCTTCTCGGCACATGATCGAATTGAAAACTCCCAGGCATCTGTGATCTCTTCTTCTTGCTTCTCCCACTCTTCAGGTTCTTCTTCCCATTCTCTGAGATCACTGGCTTTAAAGACAAAGAAGCGAGTAACAAGTAACTCCATGACTTGAACTACGAAATCCTCGTTGAAGATCTCGGACTTCATCAAGCCAACGCATTGATTCTTCTCCTCCTTAGCCTGCTGATTTTGGTATCTGAAAGTGTTCGTGGGATAGAATGCAATCTTTGCACATGCTCGAAGAAGCAGGAGGGCCTTGAGACCAAGTTTTTCCAAAAGGGGTTTCTCGCCGTCATCTGCATTACCATTCATCCCAACCTTGAGTTGAGAGAAGTCAGTTGAGCTGTACGTTTTGCCTAGTTCAACCACCAACCCCCAGTAAGATTTAACCATATCAACAGCCTGTGGGAGCAGTCCAAAGGACGCAGGGTGGGTTCTAGCCATTTCTAAATGAAGCTTGGATACCTGGATTATGTGCTTCCCAATCAACTTTTCGACTTCTGAGGCTAATGTAGATGACTGCCTCTGAATTAAGGAGTAGAAGTTTCCGAGATGGGTTAAGGATAGGGTCCAAAATCCCGAGATATCAGGCTCTCTATTTGGGTTTTCGAAGCCAGCGACTATCAGTCGTCTGATGACCTTGAGAGACATGAGACTTTGCTCAACTGCCTCTAACGCACCACCTTCATCTTCCCCGCCAGACTCTAAGAATGTACCCCATTTTTGCACTTTATCGGCATATATGCTTGCAACGATATGGAGCAGCTCAGGGGCCGCAGATCGTAGTCCTCTTCGAGTTTTCTCTAATCGTCCGGTAGAGAGTTCCTTAATCACCTGAAGGAGAATAAGCAGAGTGCGTGAGAGCTGAACTGGATTGGTTCCGGGCCGAATGGACGCTCGAAGATGTTCTATTATTTCAGATATGGCTTCTGGCCTATATGTAGATTGTCAGACATGCTCTCCAGGGGAATACTAAAAGGATAACCCACCATTCAAGAGGGAACTCTGCCCGCAATATTTTAGCCACAATAAGGGCATTCTGTAAGGCTAGTTGAGATGCAGGTTCAACAACTCCAGCTTCTATAGCTCTTCTCTTAATTTGATTTTTCTCATCTTGCTTGAGAGCACTGTACCGGTCCGCCATATTAGCGCTTATTCTACCAAAATTGAACAGTGTGTCACAACGGAGGCATACTTGTTTGCTGTCTTCCGCCAGTACCTGTCTATACCGTTCTTTAGCTGAATAATTGAGAGGTATCGAACTTCGAAGGGAATGGAATAGTCAGTAAAGACATCCTATCGAAAGCCAAGGAGAAACTGTTAGCCATCCATCATATGTTGGTCAGTATGAGAGAGGAGAACGAGATACCTGTAACAGCGAGTGAAATCCGGGCTGTCTTCCCCATTCCTGAAGCTGTGCAGTTCCGCTCTGGCGCTGCTGAGGCAACGAAGAGCCCGCCGTCGTCAAGGCATGTATAACGTTTGGAAGGGTCAGTGGGTTAGCTTCCCCTGGTACCTCGATAGCTACTTGCATGATGCCACCAGATCGAAGCAGAGACGGCAATGAAAGGAGAAAGACTGTCAGGTCCTTGAAGAGAGCAAAACGCTCATAGCAAGATGACTCTCCAGAATGGCTGAGAGGATGTTGGTTTCTCTAATGCAGTGGGTAGTTAGGGAGCTAGCAGAGGGAGGGTCCGGTCTCTCTCTCTTTTTTTTGATAAGTTGAATCAATATTGATCAACCCCACCACGTCGATAAAACTAAACTTTTAGTTAGGCATAAATAACTAGCTTAGTTAACTAAATATTCAAAGCTAGAGCTAGAAAGGGCCTGACCATGCGGCTTTGTGTGGGGGAACTCGGCGCACCCAGGGCAGCAGAAGAGGGAGAAATAAGCGCCTATAGCAGAGTATTTAATAGATATTGTCTATGTCTAGCTAGCTTATTAGTTAAGAGAAGTCTCCCCAGTTAACCAGCTAGAAAGTAACTAGGTTGAATGGAAGCTTTGTACATTCCTATATTATTTAGTGAAGACAGCCTCTCTCTTAATACCCACAGCCACAAAGATACATTCAAGAATAAAGGACATTCTAGGCCTGAATATAAAGTATATCAATTAATGAAAACAAGGAGAAAAATTTGGTAGCAAAAATGCTGGACTTTTTGTTTGCTGCTTTGGCTTAACTGGAGGCAGTGACCTATCACGTGACTGCTGAACCTCGGCTCAAAGAAAAGCAGCTGGACGAACGAAGAGAAGACGAGATAGAGGACGGACAACAACGTCAGCCCTTTGACGGAGGAGAATTAGAGCTGGTTGAAGAGCATAGCCCGGCCGAAGATGCCCCCGCGATGACTTCCACAAACTTCGCTGCAGCACAAGAGCGTGTGTTGGAACGGCGCCGCCAACGCGAGCTTGAAGCTCGAAATCGGCTCGCAAACAGAACATCGCGACTCCCGGCCGCATCCAGCAACCTCCCGTACCCCCTATCCAGCCTGCCTACTCGCGGACTGGCGCTATGGGATACCCTTAGAGGCAGAGAAGGGACTAGACCGGCATTCCGGGTGGGACAGGTCGACGCAGAGTTGCTGGATGAAGAGCTTATAACATTGCTCAAGGGGCAGGTCGGAGAAGGGTTGAAATACTTCGGTGTAAGACAAATCTTCAATTTTAAAAAGAGACACGATAGGACTTTTGGCTAATGCTGTTGCTATAGCGTCATATAAGGGACGACTGGAACCATGAGATCGATCTGGTGCTTCGTGCGATCCTTTTCAAGCTGTCGGTATGGGACCATAATGCCTCGTACGGCGCAGCTCTCCAAAACTTGAAATACACCGATAGCAGGAGTAAAGGGCCTGTACATTCTGATCCGACTAAGCTTCAAAAGTCCTTATATGGACTGCTGACGGTTGGTGGACGTTATGCGTGGGATAAATGGGAAAGCTGGATAATCCACCAAGGGGGAGGCTATGATGAAGTGTGTTATTTATCTACATCCCAACGTCCAACAAAAATGGTAAAGGCATAGCTAACCAGTTCTTTTGTTGATAGCCACAGTCTTCCAACACGCGAGCACTGTCAAAACTCACCTCTCACCTCTCGACCGCTCACTCAATCGCCGCCTTTGCATCCTTCCTCATTTTCCTGGTTAACGGCCGATACAGAACGCTAGTCGACCGACTGCTATGCATGCGCTTAACCCCGCCGTCGATGCAGGTTAGTCGAGAAGTATCATTCGAGTATCTTAACCGACAGCTCGTCTGGCATGCATTTACAGAGTTCCTCTTGTTTTTGTTGCCCCTTGTTGGAATCGGGCGCTGGCGCCGATGGGTGTCTCGAGCCTGGAGAAAGACCATGTCCTCGCTCCGAGCCACTGGCGATGAGAACAAGGAGAGGGACCGGGGTGAACTTGGTTTCTTGCCTGAGAGGACATGCCCTATATGTTACCAGGCGCAGAACCCTACTACCACCTCGGAGAGCGACGTTATAGGCCCCGGAGCTGCGTCAGGCGGTATCATTGGCTCAGCTCAGACGGATATCACGAACCCCTATGAAACTGTGCCATGTCAGTGTTTGTACTGCTTTACATGCATTGCCCAGAAGCTCGAGGGGGAAGAGGGAGAGGCATGGACCTGTCTCCGGTGCGGTGAGCTTGTGAAGCAGTGCAAGCCGTGGAATGGAGATGTGTTGGAAGAGTCTCAACCACAATCACAGTCCGCTGCTGCTGCGGTTCCTGCTGTCCGGAAGAACGTCGAGTTTGCTGTGGCTGATAGCCATATCGAATCCTCTGACACCGTGGATGACAGTGATTCGGCGACTCGTATAGATATTGATGACGGAATGAATGAGACCAGCCCATGGGCGGCTGTCGGCGTTGAAGAAACCGATGACACCAGCGTTCACACCGAGCTGGACTTCAGGGGGTAGTATATCTGCCTGTTCCAGCTTGTTCCTTTTTTTTCTTTTCCCCCTTCATCTTTTACTATATACACTATATTATTTTTTGCGATATTGATACCACAAGCACGCTCTTGTCAAGACTCTTCTCGTCTCATACTGGCCCGGATTGCCGAAAATAGGTACCTAGTTATATGTATTGCAGACAGCAATGGGGGTTCTAATATATTCGACAGCAAACATCCCCTTGCAAGAAATGCAGCTCCTGACTATAAACCATATTCATCCTCATATTAGATCTAATATATTATACTTATCCGTCCAAGGGGCGTCCCAGAACTCCCTGCAACGGCCAGCATCCTCTCCGTGACTCCGAAGCTGGCTTGATTATTACCAAAACTCGCATGCTATGAAAGTACCTACACCGAGAGACGACGCCCTAGGCACAGCCTCGGCCACGAATCAGGAGCCGATTTTACCCCGGACTTGAGTCTTTCTGGCAAGGACTCAGCTGTGCGACTAATTGGTCTACAAGAACCAAGGGTTGAGCCGGCCAGGCTGCAAGATTTTCCGCTGACAGGACAAGATCTAGACAAGCCGCCCTCCGCTGTGAAGGAGAGCCGAACGTCATCCTGGGACGTCATATCGAAGGCTATCCAGCTTTTAACCTTGGTTAGGAGGCGAGTCCCTTGTCCAATTAAGCAAAGCTTCAGACGCAGCTCGACGACCGACCGGTTGTTTATAAGTGAAAGGCTGGTACCAGGTGTGCAGCCTACTGCTCCTTCGCAAAAGATCCTCCCTACGGCTCTGCAAGACATTTAAAGTACCTACACTACTATAGGACTTGACATAAACGATCTACCTTCAAGGATCAAATTCTCGTCTCGGCTTTTGCAATCATGCCTGACGTTTCAAATTGTGTGCGGACAGCGCAGGTGATCGGGCTCACTACATCTGGGCTGATGGCTGGTAAGAACTGATCCAACAGAATAGAGGCAAAGCACAACAAATAGTTATACAATCAACTGGGTGCAGGAAGGGGGCAAAAAAGGAAAGAAAAGAAGAAGAAAAAAGAAATAGATAGCTAACATGAACCAGGCTCGATTCTCACCTACTCTACCGCGCTGATACCTACCATCACTCTTCCTGCTGGCAGCGGCCCGGCCAGCTACGACTCCAACCACAAGCCTGGCAGTCCCATCTCACACATTGCCACTCAATGGCGCCATGCCTATAACATTGGCAAGAGCTTGATGCCCTTTTGTGCGATTGGGGCAGGCACTGCGTACGCCTATCTCTCCTATGTCTTCCGCCACGAAACGACTCTCCGCCCTGCCGACACGCGGACCTCGAACTGGTACCTGCTCGCCTCCGGACTGGTGATGTCCATAATCCCATACACGCTGCTGGTGATGAGCCCGACAAACAAGAGCCTGCTTTCTCGCGCCGAGGTGGCGGATGCAGAGTCCATGACCGGCGTGTCCAAGGCAAAGGAGGCAGCCTCCAAGACCAGCGGCGACTCCAAGGCGACCAGGGAAGATGTCGAGGTCTTGAATTGGCTCAAGGGCTGGGCTGAGTTGAACGTTGTCAGGTCCATGTTCCCCCTGGCGGGAACGCTTGCTGCACTCTATGCAACGCTCTACTAGGCCTCTGCTGGCCCTTGCCTCCTTTCCTTCCCGTCCCCCGTCCTTCTCCCATGCCGTGTCATGCCATGTACGGGGGATCAAGGACATCATAAATCATAATATAATATCAGGCATGGCATCTCTATCGCTCAGCGTTGGTTTTCGGGGCCTGCCTTTGTGTCTCTTGCCTTTGTATGTAACTATATAACCAATATAGCCCAGGGCCCTCGGTCTGCAGGAAGCCTTATTTTTCTTTTTGTCCTCTCTCCGATCCTTCTGCCTCTGCGAAACAGGGACTGCAGAGTCGCACTGAGTCTTAATATCCCTCTCTTTTCTTCTTCTTCTGCTTCTGCTTCTGCTTCTGCTGCGTCTTGCTGCCTCCTTTTTCGCCTGCTTCTGCTAGTTTTCCTTGGATGACGTCGTGCATGGTCATGTGATGGCAGCCCAGCGAGCGAGAGAGAAATAATAACACCGTCGCTTTTTCTCTCGTCGAGCAACTCTTCCAACGTCGCAGCCTCAGCACCGCGGGATAGCATGATGGACAGCGAGTTGAAACAAGATGGAGGAACCAAGGATGAGGCTGTAGAAGTCGTACGATCACATCTGGCACTACCACCGCCCGCCACGGCTACTGAAAGCCCCCCTTACACTGCCACAGAGACGCGGGAAAACTCCGAGTCGCTGCGGTCTTTGCCCCCTCGCGATCTCTCTCGTCTGCTTCTTCATCGAAAGTATATGTACGGACTAAAAACTAAACTGCATGCACGCAGCAGCGCAAGGCCAATAATCCCTGCCCACGGACAGCCAGCATATTAGATAAAAGCAAGTCGAATAAAGCGAGAGGTAAAGGGGGAAGAACACAGCATTGTCGAGACACGCCAATTGGCCGCTTGTTGGTGTCTCGCTGACTTGTCCGACCCTCAGGCGTCGTTGCGGGACCAGGGTCGAGCCGGTGTGAGTGTGAGTGAGTTCATGCCCGTGAGTGTGCCGGGGACTGAGTGTGAGCGAGTAAGGGAGTGTGATTGACCTGAGTTGAAGGAGAGATAGGAAGCGGGAGAAACGAAAAGAGAGTCACGGCGAGAGAAAGAAAGTGTACAGGGTACGCTTTGTGTGTGCACGAAGGCGGCTTGGTTGGTTTGCCTGTTTTGCCTGCTGGGCTTTCTTTTCGAGCGAGCTTGCGCAGGATAAAAAGCAAAGAAAAGAACTGCAGCAAGGGCTCGCAACTTGCTTCTGTGGCCGTTTCTGACCTTTAGTTATCCTGAACACCGCACTCGATTATTTCTTTTATCTTCCTTGCCCTGGTTGGTTGTCTGGCGGTCGACCGTTGCTGCTGTTGCGTCTTGATATATATACACACACACACACATATATATATATCTCTATATATACATATATATTTAGGCCGGCGGGAGAAGAGAGGGGAGCAAAAGGGAGTAGCCGGTTGGATACCTGATATATTTTATATATTTCGTATATCCCGCTGCCAGCTAACAACCTCCGCTTATAAAGAAGCCGTTTCGAGTTTAATATCCCTGTCCCCCTTTTCCTTTACTTATATAAGAAAGAGAGAGAGAGAGAGAGAGAGAGAGAGAGAGAAGGAAGAAAGAGAGGAAAGATAAAACGGCTCGAGCCCTTTTTGCACTCGATTGTAAAGCCCAGCATGAGCTCTACAGAAGTTAATGGCGTCGGTGGTGAGAAGCGGGAAGAGAAATACGTCCGGTTCCCCTGCGTTAACGACGATGCGACTCGGGAAGGCAAGCCGGTGTTAAACAAGTATTCGCATTTCATCACAAAGGACCATGACTTTCCCGGAGCTCAGGTACGCATTTATTGCCATAGTCATGATAGTCTTCGTCAGAGCAGAAAGAAAAGGCATACTTGGGACCAAGCTGACATTTGGAACAACGGGGTCTAGGCCATGTTGTATGCTGCTGGGGTTCCTGATAGAGAGAGCATGAAGAACAGTCCCCAGGTAGGCATTGCGTCGGTATGGTGGGAGGGCAATGCCTGCAACATGCATCTGCTGGACCTTGGGAAGGCTGTCAAGAAGGCCGTCACCTCCCTGGGGATGCTGGGCTGGCAGTACAATACAATTGGCGTCTCTGATGCCATCACTATGGGTCATGAAGGTACGTTCAAATCAAATATATACATATATGCATACATATATGTATATGTACATGTCCAATAAATGTTCACGGACCTATGTCGAACTAAACGTCAGCCACTGTCTAGGTATGCGGTTTTCCCTACAGTCAAGAGAAATCATAGCCGATAGCATCGAGACAGTCACCTGTGCGCAGTACCACGATGCCTGCATTGCGATTCCCGGCTGCGACAAGAACATGCCGGGAACCATAATGGCCATGGGTCGCCATAACCGACCATCGCTGATGATCTACGGTGGTACGATCCAGATTGGCTATTCCAAAGTCTTGCGGCAGCCAATCAATATATCGACGTGCTACGAGGCTGCGGGAGCTTATGCATACGATCAGCTCAAGCAGCCAGACGATGGCGGCGACCAGAGTAAGACCAAAGACGAGATAATGGAGGATATTGAGAGACATGCCTGTCCCAGTGCCGGCGCCTGCGCCGGCATGTTCACGGCCAACACCATGGCCACCGCCATCGAGAGCATGGGTCTCTCCCTGCCGGGCTCTTCGTCTACTCCAGCTACGGCCCCAGCCAAGATGAGGGAGTGTGTCAAGGCGGCGGAAGCCATCAAGACGTGCATGGAGAAGAACATCCGGCCCCGGGACCTGCTCACCAAGAGGTCGTTTGAGAATGCGTTGGTGATGACGATGGTGTTGGGCGGGAGCACCAACAGTGTGATCCATTTCATCGCCATGGCCAGGTCGGCAGGCATGGAGCTGACCATCGACGACTTCCAGCGTGTCAGCAACAAAGTGCCCTTCATCGCCAACCTCTCACCCAGCGGGAAGTATTATATGGCCGACCTGTACGAGATCGGAGGCACCCCGTCCGTCCAGAAGCTGCTCGTGGCTGCCGGCCTGCTAGACGGAGACATCCCAACAGTGACAGGAAAGACGCTGGCCGAGAACATCGCCTCTTTCCCTTCCCTCTCACCGGGACAAGATATCATCCGCCCTCTCGACAACCCCATCAAGGCCACTGGACACCTGCAGATCCTGAGAGGGAACCTCGCTCCGGGAGGTGCCGTAGCCAAAATCACAGGGAAAGAAGGCACCAAATTCACCGGTAAGGCTCGAGTGTTCGATCGTGAATCTGAACTGAACTGCGCACTCTCCCGCGGCGAGATCCCACGGACAGAGAACCTGGTCCTCATCGTCCGGTATGAGGGCCCCAAGGGCGGTCCGGGCATGCCAGAGCAACTCAAGGCCAGTGCTGCTCTCATGGGGGCCAAACTGACCAACGTCGCCCTGATCACAGATGGACGGTACTCCGGTGCCAGCCACGGCTTCATCGTGGGCCATATCGTTCCTGAGGCAGCCGTGGGAGGTCCCCTGGCCATCGTCCAGGACGGAGACGTCATCACCATCAACGCAGAGACGAACGAGCTCTCGATGGCCGTCTCTGACGAAGAGATTGCTGCAAGGCTGAAGGACTGGACGCCGCCGGAACCGCGAGTCACTCGGGGTGTCTTGGCGAAGTATTCTCGATTGGTTGGAGATGCGTCTCACGGTGCGATGACCGATTTGTTTTGATCGAGCCATGACTGGCAGTGCTTTTTCTTTTCATCGTCTTCATCCCGGCATGTCCCCTTTTAGGTAGTTATCATCATAGAACGTCGCAAAAAAAAAAGGGGGGGGAGGAGTAGCTAACCGACACAACACACAAAGGAGGGAGAAAACATCCAACAAAAAAGAGATATATAAAAGGAGATAGAAAATAAGATCAAAGATGAAAAACTTCTCCCTAGCTGAGGTTTTCTTTGGACGAGGGAAAAGATGTGTGGCATGGAGCGCCAGCCTTGTCCATGCCATGTTCAATCAGGGGTTGCCGTTGATCGTATTCTCCCAGAGAAGCCGTTTTGGCCGGTCAGCAGCGATGATCCGCGGGTATAAACAGAGTCCTTTGCCCTTGAGAGAGCAAGGCAGAGCTTTATCATTCATTCGATGGCCCTTTGTCTGATATATTGATCATCATCAACCAAGGCCATTGTGGACAATGCGCGTAGAGTTCTTCCGTGGTAATCAGTTATTACACCGAACAAAATAAGCGACAGGCTTAAACTACTGCTTTATATCATTAAACCAGTAACTTATTTAGTTAAACCGCAAGTTCCATGACCATTAATCAAGACTGATAGTTATGAATGGGAAAAAAAAAAATTAGAGAGGAGAAAGTGACGTGGTTTCTGGTGGAGATTGAGAGTGATGCGGATTTTTTCTTCGTCCTCGTCCCTCGACCGTTTCATGCCTTGGGAGGCTAACTAATTATTATTATTGTTATTATTATTATTATTATTATTATTATTAGCTATTGGTATTACGGCAGGCCGCGAGCGGTGCATCCCGCTGCTCTTGCACTCCGCGTAGCTGCATCCTTGCCAGACGAAATCGAGAGGAAAAGGTCACATCCGACCTGCAGCAGCCTCGACTAACTAGTTGGTTGGCTAGGCACAGCTCGTCCAGCTGGTAACGAGCGAGCTCACTCCCTGCTCCGCCTGTTATAGCACAGAGTGAGAGCCTGTGGCACAAGCAGGGGGACGAGGAGCTGATCCGCGGGTAGATACGTAAGTAGCGTCCATCGAGCCAGCTTGTTTTGACTGCCTTACCAGTAGTTAACTTGTAAACAAGAGTGGGCGGTTAACTTGTGTGTGTGTGCGTTGAATGATGCAGCGAGGCAGCACCGTCCAGCCGCTGATGCCTTCTCCAGCTGTTGATGAAACGAGAGACAACTGACTAGCAGGCTGTTCACTCTCTCTCCCGCTTGTCAACATTGCCCACTCTGCCGTATGATCATGGCTTGTTATCCGCTGCCTGCCTGTGAAGCTCGTCAAGTGATACTGGCCTTCTAGCAGGGTGACTCGCCGGCTTGGCTTGCGTTGACTGGTTAACCAGCAACCAAAAGTCGGCTGGGGCGGTTGGATGTATTACCACACTCAATACAGCCATTTTATAGACGACGTCTCCTCCAGCCACAGACATAATTACTTCAAAAATACCCCAAATATCACTGAAGCAGCGGAGGAGCTACGGCCATGGCAGCCAGGTTCCAGGTGCCGACTGTTGGTCTCTCCGCCAGTGACTCCCTGTTGGAAAGCATCCAGGAGTCATGCTACGGCCAGGCATCGCGGTTGGTGCACTACGTCCTAGACTTGAAGGAACAGTTGGATCTAGGCCGTTATGTGAGCTTTGGCGGCTACTACCAGATATCCGCTACCATCGCCCTGCTTCTTATAGGCGGTGGAATTGTTTCGTGGCGGCTCCTGAATTATGGGCCTGATGGACGGCGCATCCTTAACTCGAGGACCATAACCGTACACCCCCCAAAACCACGGAGGCTAGATGATGCAACATGGGCTTACGCTACAGCACTCTTAACAAAGGCTTCATTTCAACTCCAAAATGATAGTAGTACGTTTAACATCTCTTTAGAAAGCTGACTTTCATTATACAGTGTTGCTAAACACCCTCGGCGATAGATATAGCGTTTTCAGACCCTGGAGTACTGAAGAAGCACTCCTCTTACCACTCATATACCACTTCGGTGTGCACTTATCCTAAAATCCGCACATTCTACTACCTCCATCCTCATACAGAGAATTTCCCCACGAAACCCAAGGTCCTCCCACTGCTGGTATTCATCCACGGACTAGGGGGCTGCTTATCCCAATTTAGCCATCTACTGCAAAGCATGATAACTGTGGGCCCGTGTTTTGGCATCGACCTCCCTGGCTGCGGTTTGTCGACATTTGCTCCACGGAAATGGTCGGCCTACTCCATTGAAGCTTTGACCGAGCTCGTGGCCAATGCAATCGAAAAACACAGAGACGCTGCTCGCAACCAAGACGTTATTATCATTGCACATAGCATGGGCTGTTCCATCGCGGCCCTGATGGCATCTTCTGAATCCGGATCCATGGCTGAAGTGAAAAAGCACATAGCTGGGATAGTTGCCATTTGCCCCGTTTCCGAGCCTCCCTCCAAGAAGTCGGTGAATCTGTTCAAACGGGTTCTATACCTGCCCGACTTCATATTTAACATGTGGCGCTGGTGGGACCGTATTGGAGGACGTGATAGCCCAAGCGTCCGAAGACTTGTCAATCACCCAGCTGCCCCGGAAACCCTTGATCTCCAATATCGGTATAACCTTCTGAGCCGCACCCCAGTATGGAGGCGGATGGCATGGGGCTCTCTTCCGAGTTATGATAAGTTAGGTCAGCCAATCAGTGGCATTCCTGGGATGGACATGTGGGAATCGATACATATACCCCTCTTCTTTGTTGCAGGAGAATCAGACGGGGTCACAAAACCGAAGGAGATTGCAACGCTGCTGCGTTGCTTTTTACTAGCTAGACCGGCTGCTGGTGATGATGGTAAAGCAAATGCCAGAGCGATAAGCAACGACCTGCCCACTGGAATACTGCTCCATAATTTCGTGCAGGTGCCGGAAACAGCAATGGACCGGCGAATTCATCATGAGGGTGCAACCTGGCTAGCTAATCCAGATGGAACTCAGGTCGTGGACGCCTACGTGTTTCCGGCACCAGCCTCTCATTCCTTGCTGTTTGATGTGAACACCTACCGGACATTGTCAGGCCTTATCCAATCTTTTGTAGCAGCCAACATTGATCTTCGCCTATCCGCTGGGTGGCAGCTGCAACATCTAACTACGTCTGGAAAATGGGATGTAAAGAATCTCGCCAAATGGCAGGCTGTGACTCCCGTATCGGAGCCCATAGGGCATACATTTGTTGCCATGAAGACGTTGCGCGGGGTAGACACTCACCACTCTCCGGAGGCATTCATCAAGGACTGGGGTGGCAAGATATACGCTGTTATCGATATCAGCCATGAAAGCCCGGTATACGACCCCACACAGCTAGAGTTGGGTGGCATCAAATATTACAAACTCCCTACCGTCTCGAAGATCCCACCGTCTATAGACGAGGTCCGAGAATTCATGAAGATTGTCAACAAGTTGAGAGAGGAGATGGTAATGAAATTCAGGCCAAGAAGCGGGCCAGCTAGTCTTCCCAAAATCGCCGTCCATTGCCATTATGGCTTTAACCGAACAGGTTTCTTCATTGTTTCGTGGCTGATCGAGGAGGAGGTGTATCGGATCTCACAGGCTCTCGAGGAGTTTGAAAGGGTCCGCCCGCCAGGGATACGCCATGAACACTTTATAGACGCCTTGCATGCACGTTACCATCTGCTCGATCATATGCAACGAAATCCCCGGCGGAATCTTCCCGCGTTGAAGCAGGGAGAGACTGCTAGTTAACTATCTCGTTTTACTTCCATGTTTGTTAATTGCCGAGCTTGGGTTGCGTGCTGTAGCGGCGCCAGCCAGGCATTGCGTAACTCTTTATGGCCTTATAATATATATAGTTAGTCTATAGAATTCAGTTCCACATCGCTTCGTGCCATAATCACCGTCGTCGGCGTCTTTCGTCTTCACCACTAAGTATTATCGCCGCCGCCGTCGCTGCCGCCGTCGTTAGAGTCAAATACATATCACGTGATTGTCACGTGACCTTCTAAGCGAACCCACTTTTTTCTCTTTCCACACAAGGCCGAGTCTTGGCGCACACCAAAGCGAAAAGCGACTTTGGAAATTTCACGACATCGAAATCTGAAGATATTGAAGAACCGCCCCGTGTGTGCGCGACGACGACAACGACAACCTCACGCCCTCGCCCCTAAAGACACCGAGTCCTTCTCCCTTCGTCAACGAGATAGTTTGTCCCGCCGGTTCCATAGTCGCAATCATGGGTGGCATTACCGTTCGCGATGTCGATGTAAGTTGGCTATCACAAAAGTCCATGGGTGGCTCTGGTCGTCTGCTGCGTGGGATGGATGGTCTTTCTCCGGTGGATGGTTTACTTCAACTGCTACGGTGATTATTCATGAGCATGCGAGGAGCACCGGGTCGCCCAAATGCACTAATCAAGCTGCTATGAGAGCGGTGGATGTGGATGGATCTACATATTTTGGCCGGTTAACCTGTGGTATGGAGATAAACTGTGAGATCAAGCGCTTTACGACAATAAAGGAAAGCGGGTATTCTCGAGGAATCAAGCAGACTTGTCCAGCCCTTGGAGGACCATACTTGCGCAGCAGACAATGGAGGGAGCTGGTTTCTTGCACACTGCCTGATATATAACTAACAATGTCTCTTCCCCTGCTATACAGGCTCAAAAGTTCGTCGAGGCATACTCTGCTTTCTTGAAGAGACAGGGAAAGCTCCCAATCCCAGGTTCGACATCTCACATAACTGGTATCTTATAGAAAGCATGTTAACAGTATTTACTAGGTTGGGTTGATACGGTCAAGACCTCGAACTCCAAGGAACTCCCTCCCCAATCCATTGACTGGTACGATTTACTCTCATAACGCCCTAATGCCACTGTGAACCACGCCAAATCTACTTTATGTCTGGCGTATAAACCTATGCATTCCTTGTACTTACTCCATATAATAGGTACTACGTTCGTGCTGCCGCTGTTGCCCGACATATCTACATGCGCAAGACCGTCGGTGTCGGCAGTCTACGCAAGGTCCATGGTGGCCGCAAAAACCGCGGCTCTGCTCCATCCCACCACGTCGATGCCTCTGGATCCGTTGATCGAAAAATCATGCAGTCTCTTGAGAAGATTGGTGTCCTCGAGCAAGATGAGGAGAAGGGCGGCCGCAGAATCACCCAGAGCGGCCAGAGAGATTTGGACCGCATTGCCAGGACGACCATAGAAGAAGACGAGGATGACGAGTAAATTATTCTCATGTGGGGATAGTTTGTGTGCTGTGAGATGATTGAAGTAGAGGGAGAAGATGGCCGGAAGACAGAATAGGAAAATGACAGAAGGCCATAATTCTTAATGTTTCCCTCAAACAAAAGACGATATCACGGGTTGGTAAATTAAATTTTCTACTTTTCTCTTCTTTTCTTCATGTCATGCAGCTAGCGAGTTCTTGGATGGAAGGGAGAGGATATGCCATGGATAGAAGGACCGTGGAATCTTTTTTTCACCATTGATTCGAAACCCAAACTCAACATTGCAGCAGCCTCATCGATGGCATGTTGATACGATGGCCAAAACGTCAACTACTTCCGAACCTTCTATATCCACCTTCAAATCGATTCTCTGGCCTTATTATTCATTTGTGCTCTCCATCTATCATCATCCATCACGGCCTTGGACATGTCTATCTTGAATTTAATAAAGAATAAAAACATCTTCTAAAAACATATGAATTGCCTCTGGTATTAATCTCACAGTTTCTTTTACCCTTGGTCTCGTTTTCAGAAATTAACCCCCTTAACTGCAGGACAATAGTAACCGACTAAACATGACATAACTAAGGACAAAAGACACAAGACTCAAAGTACAACTAACAGGGACCTCCTAATCCTTTAGCACAAGACCACCAGCTTCCCCTTGCCCTAAGGCAACCCAACCACCAAATATCCTTACATGTATGGCTTGTTAGGCCAAAATCATAGAAAAAAAGAAAAAAAAAAAGAAAAAAAAAAAAAGAAAAAAAAAAAAAAAAAACAAGAAAAGGAAAAGGAAAAAGGAAAAACGAAAAAGGAAGGAAGGAAGAAAATAATAACAGGAGGTGAAGGAATAAAACAGAAATAGAAAATCAGATGGAGACAACGAAGGTAGACACGTACACATAAAGAACTTCTGACAGGATGGTGTGAGAGGAGTGAGTAAAGAAGAAATAAGATATCATGAGAATATCTTTAGCACAGAGAAATGGCGAGGAAAGTCATCTCATGGTTGTGGCAGGAGTCAGCGCTCCTTTATTCTGGCACATCTTGGATGTTCGCGCCAACTCCCCCAAACCATTCATGGACTTGAGTTCTTGGGCCATTTGGATTGACATTAAGTACTGGGACTCTTCCGGCTAAAGAGGGAACTGGCCGAAGGTCAGCTCCGAAGAACATTGGCTGGCGTTCTCTGGTTTCCACTGGGCTATAGCGGTTCACCCACGGCTGAGGGTTACTGGAGGAAGATGGCCCTGGGGCAGCTTCTTCCAGGATACCATTCTCAATCTCACTCTCCATGCCCGGGGTATCACTTTCAGGGTATTTGTTCTCCTTATTTTCCTCTTCAGGCCCGGGGCTAGTGCTGGGGGTGTCAAGGTCGTCAATGATAATAGGAGAGGTTGGCTGTTCTGGTAAATCCTCTGGTGTATCCTCTGGTTCAGGCTCATCTTCCCAGATTCTGGTTCTAGCGGCTGCATTCTGCTGGGAGCCGGTGATATTACGGCCAGGGAAGAGTCTGTTGAAAGCTTCATGACCAATAACATCGGCAAGAATCGGATCAGTGTACCAGGTACTCATATCCTCCGTAGCAATGGGGTGTGGGTATGGGATATCGTAGTCCACATCATCATTGTCGTTGTCGTCAGCGTGGGTATCGTCAGTAGAAACGGAAGATATTGCTGCGCCATCACCATCATCGTTTCTAGCTTCCTCAATTTGAGCTTCAGATTCATTATCAGACCCATGGCCTTCGCTATCTTCATTGCTCTCATCGCTAGTCTCTTCAACTGATTCTGCATAATAGAGATCGTCAAGGTCATAGTAGTGCACGCTTTCAGACGAACTACTACCTTCTCCTGGAATTTGAAAAGCGTTGTTTTGGAAGAGACTATTCCCTTCAGTCTCATTCTCAATCATTGCTATAGATTCCTCATCTGGAACCCAAACTCGGGTCTGCATATGGCTCTCAATGGTATCAAAAACGATCTCTATAGTAAGAGTAAGTTAAGCACAGTATACCAACATTTCTGGGCTCTAACCCCTGTATTGTTAATTGGGGATATCGAACAACTTACCACCAAAGGTCCTAGGGTCGACACTGTCAAGACTGGGGACTTCTCTGTCATTATTTGGCTCAAAGACGGGAGCTCCATCGGATTCATCATCATCATAGTTGAAGTCAGTAGATGCTCCACTGTCATCAGAATCACCCTCGTAGCCATCATCTCCAGTATCTCCACCATTTCCATTACCGTTACCATTTCCATTGCCATTGCCATTTCCGTTGCCGTTGCCGTTGCCGTTGCCGTTACCCGGACCAAAGTCGCGGTCTGGTCTCTTCTCTTTCTTTTTACCTTCAGTATCTTGTTGTTTATCTTCATCATCGCGCTCGGATTCATCTTCCTCATCATCTTCCCCATCCTCTTCCCTTTCGTCTGCACCAAGCTCTCCTTCAGTGTCATATCCCCCTGAAAACTCACTCATGTCTCTATCCTGCCCTTCAGGAGCAAGTGCAAGGGTATCTGATGGTAAAGGGGTATCTCCAGCCGCCAGGTCCAAGCGAGGCACCTGGCCAGGCTGTTCCTTGATTGTCCCATCAGCATTGCGCTTCTCACCCCTTAGAGTAGGCAGCTGGTTTGGTTTGCTATGTTCTAAAGTCAGTCAAATTCCTATTATCTATCAAGAAAGCGGGATACACATACTTTGGACCCTTGGTAGGAGGCAACGGAGTATCAGAAGGCATAATTTAGGTTGTTTCCTACACTATCCTTTCTACGCCTTGTCTTCTGGGTATTTGATATCAAAGATCTGTCTAGAAAGGCCTTCGATATATCAAAGTCGCGTTTCTAATCACAAAATAACAAGGTAAAAAGCAAAAGACACCCTGTTGAGAAGGCTTTCACCTAAAGGAGAGTTTCTATCAGTATCAGACGCGACCTTAACTGATTACTCACGCTAGAAGGACAATAGACAAATAAGAAGTAGGAGAAGCAGACCAAGGCTAGTAACTCTGAATAAATCTTGTACTCTAGAAGAGCCAAGTAGCTAAAGTTGAAGTTCACCAATGTAGTCTTGTTATGGAATGTTTGTTTTCAAAATAAAGGAGGAGAGGGGGCTTTTATATATTTGTGCGAGGACAGGACAGCTTTGGATACCAATAGGGGTTAGCGTACTTTCTTGGTCAACAGGCCCCTTTAGTGTGCTTTTCCCTGTAAGGAGTATGACATTGTCGGATGACTTCTTTTTCTACCTAGGACACTGGCAGCCTTGTCCTCTTGGAAGTATGGCTCCTTATAGTATCTCCTATAATATATCAAAGGTGGGAAGCCCTTTGGATAGTGAAGGGGGAACAATGAATAAGCCATATAACTATTACTTTGATATAGAGTGGTAAGCCTCTGCAGCTCCATGGATATGGGTATATAGAAAGGTCCCGATATGTACATCATTTAAGCAGCAGGTATTGGGCAGGACCGATCAAGCTTCTCAGCCTAGAGTGATCAATCCCCCGATGAAAAGTATCTATAGGATATTGTCACCATCCTTGTGGGTGGTTGGGTCCCAGCAGACATGATGGTATTCGTCGGTATGGAGAGCTTTCATGTCATCCTGAGATAGCTCAAAGTCGAAGATATCGGAATTTTCCAGAATGCGCTTCTCCGTTGCTGACTTCGGCAGAGGAACAAAACCCTATATCAACTCAATTTCAGTTTCTATGAACCCACGAGAATGGTAAGTAATGGATCCTTACTTTTTGTAAACTCCATCTAACTAGAACCTGAGCAGGACTTTTGTTATGTTTCTTTGCAATTTCCTGGAGTTTTGGATCATCCATCTTCTTTGCCTGTACGAGCGGACTGTACGCTTCGATGACAATGTTGCGCTTCTGAAGCCATTCAACAATATTAGAACGAGTGAGCCACGGATGCAACTCATACTGGCCCACATCAATTTTACCCCCAATGGCTTTGTTGTACTCCTCCAGCTCATCCAGATGGTGGACTCCATAATTGGAAACTCCAATGGAGCGGATTTTCCCTTCCTTTTGAGCCTCTACCAAAGCCTTCCAAGAACCTTCACGCTTCTCTTTACCACCATACGGTGCATGAAGAAGAACCCTAGATTCCGTGTAAGTCATATTTCTATACGACAAGAATGTTATTGAGAATATTACTGCTTACAGATCAAAGTAGTCCACATTGGCCTCCTTTAGGCTGGATTCAATAGCTTCTCTAGTAGGTTCATAACCGAGCGATCTCCATGGGACTTTAGTCGTAAAGAATACCTCTGAGCGCTTAAGTCCCGATTTTCGGATAGCTTCGCCGCACTCAGCTTCGTTGTGATAGGCTTTTGCTGAATCAATCTATCGCGGAACAATAAGGGTCAGCATCGCAGCGACGCATTGGTTCACAAGAAAATGTGATTCTTTTCGTAACATACGTGCCTGTAGCCCGTCTCTAGAGCCTTGAGAACACATTTTTCGGTGATATCCGGGGGTCTCGTTATTGTCAGTATCGTAACTAATGAGAATCAAACCGAATAGCAACCTTACGTTTGGTACACCTATTCAATGTTGTTAGTAACCACACAGTGCGAGACGGAAGTTGGCCACTTACGCCAAATCCGACGACTGGGATCTCATATCCCGAGTTCATCTTCTTAGTGGACTGAATATTTGATCTTGCTGCCATGGTTGCTACTTTTCTTGCGTTTCGACTCGATATTCCCACAAATGATGTAGTGGGCAAAATAGACATCACCATGGACAGACGGGCAAGGTTAGTGGCCATTTATATACGGTGGCAGTCGGCAAAGACTATCCGAGGTACTTAACGCCCCTTTGGTGCTTGTTATTTCTTGATTCAACCAGCCAATACCTAGCGAAAGCGCTGGCGAATCTGGTATGTTAGTTACATTAAAGGACGGCTTAGTTAACATGCGGGGATGGGATGTCGTTGAGGGCATTCCCCGACCAGAGGTGCGAGAAGCCGGTACCTAGATATCTGATGCCTTCACCTGTACAACTTAAATAACCAGTCACTTGATGTTTGTAACCTAGTATGTTGGTTGTGTTTACCTACTTGTCTGGTGGGAACCACGAGTCTAAGCTAACTAGTTATGACGTCAACAGGCGGCCCCTTTTGCTGCTGTGTTGTGGGCTTCAGGTGAGTAGCTAACTACTAACTACCTGCTAAATGGCGAGTTCAAGTTACCCAAGCTTCGAGAAATTAATTTGCTTACACTAAAATATTCACTTAGCCAGATATTGTGGCTTTAGGCATTAGGAGATGCATTCGCTGTGCTCGATAAGGGTCGGATGCACTGCAAGAGGTCTGCCAATCATATGGTTACCTTATGTAGGTAGGTAGTTATATGATGCTCAGCGCCGAATAGGCACCAGGCAGCAGCCATGTGCATTAACTGTAAGAGTAGGGAGGCAGCACCTTCCCCTCCAGATACCGGTACAGTTGTCTGCTACTTATCTCTTGAAAACAAGCACCGCTGAGCTGGCAAGACAGCATATCGATATCTTCGCTGAAGTTGATGAAACACGCGACGTGGCTAGGACACGGACAGTTTCAAGCGATTTTCCTCGACTGTGTGCTGAAAATAGTTATTTTACCCAGTCCACTCATACACCCATTCCTGTACCGTGTCATCATTTAAGCGCAAATATGACTTTGCAACAGGCCTCCGTGGAACAGGAATGGTACAGAGTCTTCAAGCCGGAACTAGACACCGCAGCCCCCGACCCTATAGACCCGGTGAATGGTATCATGAAGGAGTTTTCGTTGAAACGGACATAGTCACTGGGAAAGGAAAACTTTATTGCACGTTACTGGCGACGTCATTGCAGCCAGTGGTATGAGATTTGAAACCAGAAGCAACTTTATTGCAAGGGAATCGGTACATTTGCATAACCTCCCACAAATCGGATGGGTTAAGAAGGCGGATTTCGACTCAGGCAGGATCAAAGCTCTTTTAGCGGGCCTACCAACACCGACAAAACAACAGGGTAAAAATTTTGGGAGGTCGACCCAATCACCAAGAAGCATGAGGTAATTTGGACAAAAGAGAATGGAGAGCGCTATGGACCTGGAGAACAACGACGTCCCACCTTCAAATGTAACGAATGAACGCATGACTATACAATTCCGGCATTGCGCGATGCAGGTATCTTGCTCGACTCGGTTTTGGGTGGGTCAACTTGAAAGATTAAGACCCGAGTAAAGGGTTGAAAGGAAAGGCGGAATATTGTATGGTTGTCGAATACTTCTATGACTTTCTGTTATTGGTAGATTTCTAGAACTAGTAACCTCGATGGTCCTTATCAATCATTCTCATTATAGCCAATTTAGCAGGCCATACTTGAAGGAACTCTTGTGCTCGCCAGAACCAATCGTCTTCACCGTATTCAAACCCCATTGGAGATGCTGCACGGAAGAATTCCCAAAAGTCGGGATACCAACCGGCATTCGTCCAGTCAACAAGTGCAATATCAAAAGATCGGCCTCCTTGGTCATTTATGCGATTTGGATTTTCCGCAACCAAAATATTCTTTCCGTTGAACATCTCCATGCGTTAATGTAGGTCGGTGTCCTTGGAGCACACGCGGGAGGTAAGTTTCATAAAAACGGACCTTGAAGTCTGGTCGGTCGCTGCATCAGATCACCGCTCTATGGTTGCCAATAAAGCCGGCAATGAAAGCAGCTTCACCGTAGAAAGGTCCCAGGTATCGGTTGGCGGTATCTGGGCTGTAGAATAGGTGGTCTTGCACGCCACCACCGCCCAAGTCTCCAAAGAAACCAGGCCAAGGACACTTGACTTGTCGCATACTATCAAATATTTGACGGAGTTTAGTTGAGATATCATTTTTCTCAGACTCGGTTAATGACGGCCAGATTTTATCAAGCGGTATTCCAGGTACCCGCTGCATTATTAAGAAAAGCTCGTTAGACTCCTTGAACATTGTGTACAATCGAGGAGCTGGAATCTCCGGAGCATATCGTTCAAGGTAAATCAATGCCTGGCCCTCGCTACTGCCTGCCATCCTACCAAATTTGACAACAACCGCATCATTCACTGCTACAACTTTAAGAGGAGTAGCATTCCCGTAAGATGTTGGGGCAAGTCCGGATCTCATCTGCGGTGGGCAGAGACAGAGGCAGAGACAAAGAATCGCTTTGGAAAGGGATAGAAACGTGATGACTGCTACGAAGAAGCCAACCAACTAGTCGGAGCTTCGAGGGAGGTCGTTGAAGAGTTTGTCCTTTCGCTAACTCGCTGGACTCAACTACGTAGTTAACTCTGGGCGATGACTAAGCAAACCTTGTTTCTCTCCAACGTGATATAAAAAGGGTTTGACGTTCAATACTCAAACAAAGTGGTATGTCGATGAAAAGCAATAGTAAGAGGAGATATTCATCCTGAAACCAGATCCATTTATTTACTACCTGAATATCTCTTGATACGCTCTGTTCTCCTTTTGGTTATTCTTTATTAGGATCTGTAGGCGGATTATTCACTTTTATACGTGTCAGAGCCCCGCTGACCGCACAGTTACGGAACGGATCCGTCGAACTGCCATATCGCAGTCAATTATAACTATTTAATACCCGAGGAAGAAATAACGTTACCCGGCTCTGGAACGAGCTGTTCTCATCCTCCACATAGTGGCGTGCTGCTTCTCTCGGTGCATCGTATAAAACGTTGTTTGGCACCGAAGCCAAAGCACTCTTAACGCTCCATCAGCCCGCATTTATTTATCTATTTTATTGAAGACTGGCGCTTCCTTGAGGGTAAAATGCGCCTCATTAAGCAAAATATTGAGCGTAATGGCTCAGGCTCAGTCACGCTTTATCCCGAAGAGCCAGAAGATATGGTACGGGGATAATAATTTCCCTCTGTTTTCTCTGCATTCTTTTATCTTCTCCTTTTTTTACCAACTCTTGTGATTTGTTTGAGAGAGGCAATGCATAGTCATGGATAGTGAAAACCACATGCTAATTCTACCTTACCTATGTCCTTCCCCACCGTCCAGTGGCATGCATACAACCTAATACGGCCCAATGACCTCCTAAAATCTAGTGCAATACGCCGTGTCACCACTACTTCAGCCACAGGCACAACCGCCTCATCCCGGGTGCATATGAATTTACAAATACGCGTGAAGAGCCTTGATTTTGACATACAGAGTTCCCAGCTCCACGTATCTGGCCAGATCGTCGTGGAAACGCCATATACGAAAATTGGTCAGCATCATACCCTGGATTTGGAGCTGCAGAGAAATTTTACCCTGGAGAAAGAGGTAGAAGGCTCATCTCTTCCAGGTGATGGACCTGTAAAGGGAACATCCGCTGGCGGATGGGATAGTGTGGCAATTGAGATGTTGAAAGATGCCGTTGATGAAGGGGGAAAGAGAAGAGCAGAAGCTGTAGCCGTGGTTATGCAGGAAGGCCTTGCCAATATTTGTTTCATTGGGCAGTTCCAAACCGTGCTCAAGCAAAAAGTTGAGCTTACCATCCCAAGGAAGAGGCAAGGGGGTAGTGATTATGACAAAGTAAGGATAAGATATAATACTCAATTCTTTCATACATTATTAACACTGCAACTTAGGCCTTATCAAAATTCTATCAGCTCACTTTGGATAATCTTCTGCGGCTTATTGAATTCAACAGCGCCACAGGCTCTTCCCTTGTTACCCCAGCCTCAGGGAGTGACACGTCTGCAAAACCTATTCTTCTCGCATCTCCAGGGTTTACTGCAGCCGGATTCCAAAAACATGTGCAATCAGTTGCCAACACGACCGCGCCATCTTTAAAGCCTCTTTTACAGGGCCTGATTGTTGTGCATTCGTCATCAGGGCACATTCATTCCCTTAATGAAGTCCTGCAGTCCCCTGCCGTTCAAACAAGGTTATCTAATACAAAATATGCCCGTGAGACAGCGCTGATGGATACATTTTATACCCACCTGCGGAAAGATACGAACAAGGCTACCTACGGTCCTAGCGAGGTGGAATCAGCAGTTGATCAGGGAGCAGTAGGAAGAGGAGGAGGGGTTCTGTTGATTTCTAATAGATTGTTTAGAGCCCCAAATGTGCTTGAGAGGCAGCGGTGGGTGTCCCTGGTAGACAGAGTACGGGACGTAGAGGGCGGAGAAGTCCGCGTTTTGAGCTCTGATCATGAAAGCGGAAGGAGGTTAGATGGGCTTGGGGGTGTTGCGGCGATTCTCACATTTCCTATTGAAGACCATGATGAAGAGCGTGAGGAAGATGATTGAGATAACTGAAACCCTATTTCAGGTAGCATAGCTAGACGGAATATATCCCAACGATATTCGCCCGAGCTGGGTATTGGAAAATAGTAAACACGATAATGAGCTTACCTGGCCATATTTCATCCCCGGCCCTGGCTGTTGGGTATTTCGTCCGCTGTGATATGTTCCATGACAATGCAGGGTAGTCCCTGTAATTTCCCTCAAGGGGGAGCTGCAGCATTGAGATAGACTTAGTCCGTGCCCCTTGATCACTTGGATTTTTATAAGCAACCGACACTCCCTTACATTAGAGGTGACCCACGAGGAGTATTTCCTTAAATGTTTAGTCGTACTTTAGCAGGGAGAGCAATGGGGCATTTCGTTGTGGTAAAGGGAACAAACGTGTTTAAACGGGGGTGACCAAACTATACAAAAGGCATCCATCGCTACGTAGTCATCATCATTCCAAGTATGGACATGATGTTGGATACTTGCAGGGATAAGAGAAGGATTATAAAGGAATTGAAAGGGGAAGAAGATTTCCCTGGGAGAATAGGGGCTGGAAGGATAAATCAGGATTTATCAGAGCTGCTCTGGAAATCAAAAGGGAGAAGCAGATACTTGTAAATATATTCATTGGTAGGCTTCGAGTGGTAGAACTCCGACATCAGAGTTTATCTTCCAACACTCCACCGATATTTTCTTAACGTACCTGTATACACATAGAAAAAAAATGTAAATGCATGCCCGAGGAATATAAGTGATACATAGACATAGAGCAATCTTTCCCAAAATGTAACCCAAGAGACCAGAGACCAGATAAACATAGAAATAACAAAGGGGACAGTGAAAATAAGTATTAACCGATATACCCATGTCATTAGCCCGTAATATTAAGAGTATACTCCGTATTTATGTAGATAGATGTGTGCCGCCCGCCAATGATAGGAATAAGGGGAAAAATGGGAAATTCTGAGTTCAAAGATATGCCGGGGTATCAAGAATTATGGAAGGCTTGTATAAAGCCATATAAAAGAGGGAGGATTGAAGAATAGGTATGGATGTGTAGGTGGTGTACGTCGACGATTGTAAGCCCCTTTCAAGAACGCCGTGTGAAAGGATAGCCCGCTGATGAGAATGATATTAGTTATTGGGTTCGAGAACGCTTCGAGTAACATTCTTCGTCATCGTCTTCGGCTTCAGCTTCTTGCTCTTCGTCTGATTCGTGCTCTTCTATATCTCTTGGACTGGTCTCTAGAGCCCGACTATGCGTTTGAAGTAATTCCCATTTTTGCTCGCATTGAGAAGGAGTCCACCTCTTTGTAGCGCCGAAATCTTGTATCTATAAAGGTAGCCAGTTAGACAACATAGCTTCTCTGCGATAATCTAGTCTATCACAGACCTTCTGTGAGATGATCTCGAATTTTTCAGTCTCCCAGTATGAATGAGCATTCTGAAGGGCTCGAATCTGATAGAATATTAGTCCACCTGTTGTTTGTGATGAGGGAGAGGGGACAAGAGGAGTTGGAATGGGTACTAGATATTAATGTCAATGGGAAATAGGTGCACGTACTCACATCATCCTCAGACCACCCTTTCATCGCACGTTGCCATCGACGTGTTATTCGCATTTGAAGACGGGAGGCGGTATAGTTAGAATTGTAACGATAGTTTACTTGGGAAACCACCTCCTTCCACGGAAGTCCATCGTTTCTAAGGTTTATGGCATAATCTGTTTCTTCTTCCAACTGGGTCGATCTTCTGCGAGTGCGTCGGCGTCGCTTAGGATTGCGCTGAAGCTGTTCTTCCTGACAAATTTGTCTCTCCTGTTCTAACTGCCGGAGTCCCACTGGATTAGGGGCAATGGTGACTGGAGTAGGTCTCATAAGGACAGGTGTATGTGTTGGGGTGTGTGACGGTGCTCTAGACGCTCTCATATGTCCTCTTTCCCTTTCATAGTCGGTCGACTCATGCTCTGTTACATTGCCCATCATAGGTCTATGAAATGGATCATATGAAGGTATACCAGGCTGCACGTAGTTCAGCGCAGATGTTCCAGTGATTCCTAGCCCATGTTGCATTCCACCAGCTCCCATGGGAGGGTATCGTAGATCTTGATGCTGCTGAGGGCATGGACTATGTCGGGGATCAAGAATGACACTGTCTGAGAGGCTGATTGGGGTGAGCAAGGGTTGGTTTGCGTGTGAGTTTGACACATATGGATGGGAGCTTGAAGTGTATGTCTAATAGCAGAGAGTTAGTAATTAAAGAGCGGCACTAGAATGAGCGATGGCAGTCGCCCGCGTTCATACCGTGCCGGGAGTAACCCATTCCTGGTTTTCAAGTATATTAGACATTTGACCTTGAAAAGGTGATTCTTCCCAGGAGCTAGTAATATGGTCGGCTGACATGAGGGGCACTATCAGCGGGCACTGGGGAAGTCGAATGAGGCAGAGCCTGACCTGTGATCTCTGCACGAGAGGAGGTATTGAAATATAGAAGAGATAGGTTTCCGATGAAGACGTGTAAATGAGATGGAGGTAGTAGAAGAGTATGCAATGAGGCACCTTGTGATAGGCAGTTGAGCTTGAGGTTGAAAGAGTATTGTCCGAGTCTGACGTGGGAGTCTGGGTAGCTATATAAATGTTGTCTTCTGAAGAACTGTGGACAACAGAGGCATATAGCTTGTTCAGTCAACGAGTAACGGAGAGCCAACTCCAGCGGGCCATAAATGTAGACAAATCAGGAGCACAGACAATGCAACGAACGCTCCCGCATCCAAGATTTTCAAAATAATAATCTTGAGGTCATCGTCCAGTTCTTCCTTTTTTTTTTTTTTTTCAAATCTCTTTCTCATATACTTACTGCTTCTCCAGAGCGGGTACAAGAGAGTAGAAAATTAAAGGTCCACATGCTGATATGGCTGTGCCACTTCAGCCAGAGAAGGGCGACATGGTAGATCCGTTATGGAAAATTAAAATTGAAAAAAAAAGAAAAGAAAAGAAAAAAAAGAAGAAGAAGAAGGTAGGGAAGGAAGAAGAATGAAAATTAAAAAGGCTGCATCTAAGCGCCGGCTTTTGGCCATCTTCAAGGGGTGGGTTTAATCCATAGAGGGAGGTAGAATCAAGATGGCCCCCATTCGGCCTCAAGAGTCTGGGATGCGATTTTAGGCAACTGGCAGGGGGAGGTAAGTACCTCTGAGCTGCGCCTAAAACCCAGGCAGAGGCCATGGGCGGCCTCATAATTACCGTTCGTAACGGTTTGAGGCAGACCGTGGTTGTTGACGTCTATGCGGAGAGCAACGCCTCACCATCCTCCTCCTCTCCCCCAGAAATTATATTCCGGCCAAAAGACACCGAAGCGGGAATAAGGACAACCAGGGGGGAGGGATGTTGCTCAAGAGGACCTTAGTAACATCCGACTCAGCGAAAGGGACATTTTTTAGCGCAAGAAGGTTAAAGGAACTCGTTAAGAGAGCAAGACAGAGAGAGTGAAAGCAGAGGGAAAAAAAGAAAGGAAAGGAGGAAAAAGGAAAGGGGAAAAAATTCCCTCTTCCCCTGGCCTGGCAGCAGCGATTTCCGGCCGGCAAGGCTTGTCAAGCCAGGCCCGTGAGGAAGAGAAAGCAGACAGGGCAAGCAACTTCGATCGTTGAGGCAGGCGACTGACAGGGAGTATCGACATCCATCCTATCACCGCTCAAGCCACTCGTCCCAGGCGGATGGAACCGAATCATAGCTAGCCCCTGTACGCAAAAAAGAAACCATAGAAAGGCAACTGTCTTTTGTGTTTTTAAGTTTTGTTGCCCTTCTATCCGAACTGTGTTGTATGTATTATCCCACTAAGGCGAGCATATCAAGGGATGAGCAGCAGCGAACAATAATGATAATGATGGCTATGGCCATGGCCGATATAGACGAGCCGTGATGCTCGGCAGACATATTACCCGCATATGCCTTTTCTGTGCAGGGGGCCACATATATCAATAACGCCCAGTCAGAATTGGTAGGTGAGAAGGGGCAAACGCTGCGGCGTAGGGCAGTATCCTCATGGGATGAATGGATGAGTGATGAGCCAGTGGTTCTGTACAGAGCTGCCCAAGGGATGGCGTATCTGCTCTCCCTTTTCCTGCTTCCTCAGTTTCTGCCTCTTTTTTTCGGGTTCCCTCTAGTTGTACGTGGTAGTTGATCAAGCATGCATCCACCTGGATATGCATATCTAGTGTTCGGGTTCGTACAAGACGAAAGGGTCGTCGATATTGC